GGGGGGGAGTCCCATGAGGGTCAACGACCCCTGGATTGGGCAAACCTGAAAACTGGGGAGTCACCAAAGTCTGCCAAGGACAGATAAAAGGCAGTGAAAAGTGACCCTCAGGGGTGCCCTCTTGATCTCCAACTCGACCAGACCTGTCCAGCCAGAAGGACCAGCCGGCAACCCCCTTCTGGAAGATAACACCACACTGAAAGAAGCCTCAACGACAGACTCCAGCGCTTGTAGGATAGGTATACCTGACTCTGTAGCCTGCTACTGTGTGTGCGTGTGTGTGGGGACCAGCCCCAAGGTTTATGATTACAGTGTTTCAATCTGCCTAATAAACTAGAATTTTAAGGATCCCGAGTTGGACATTTGTAGCCAACATATCTGCATCCTTTTTGAAGTGCAACGCCCAAAACTGGGCACAGTACTCCAGTTGTGGCCTCACCAATGCTGAGTAGAGAGGGAGAAGCACCTCTCTGGATCTGTTGGCAACACATCGGCTGATGCACGCAAGAGTTTTATTTGCCCTGCTGGTGACTTCCTTACACTGTTGGCTCATATTCATCTTCTGCTCAACTGCGACCCCCAGGTCCCATTCAGATGCCATGCCAGCCAGTGGGCTACCGCCTATCCTATAGTTGTGGTGAAGGTTCTTCCTACCCAGATGAAGGACCCGGCACTTTTCCCTGTTGAACCTCATCTGATTCTGATCAGCCCATAGAATCAGTCTGTCAAGGTTGTCCTGGATCTTTACCTTATCCTCTGGTGTGCCCGTATTTCCCCCCAGATTGGTATCGGCAGCAAACTTAATCATAGAGCATTCCACCCCCTCATCCAAGTCGCTAATACATATTTTACAAAGCATGGGTCCAAGCACTGATCCCTGTGGAACACCACTCGAGACAGCCCTCCAGGATGAAGCCATCCCATCAATTACAGCTCTCTGGGACTGGCCTCTAAGTCAGTTATCTACCCACCTCACTGTAGGCTGGTTTAGACTAGTACCCTCCAGTTTGACTAAGAGAATTTCACGGGAGACAGAATCAAAAGCCTTAATAAAATCTAAGTTAATGATGTCTACCTTGTGACCCTTGTCCAGCTGGTTAGCTACTTGGTTGTAAAAGGTCACCTGGATTGTCAGGCATGAACTACCCTCCACAAAGCCATGCTGGTTGTCTCCTAATACTCTGTCAGTTACAAGCCTGTGATTGATGGCCTCTTTAGCAATTTTTTTCAAAAGTTTTTCCAAGGACTGAAGTCAAACTGACTGGTCTGTAGTTTGTAGAGTCATCTTTCTTCCCTTTCTTAAAGATGGGCACCACGTTGGCCCTCTTCCAGTCTCCCGGGACCACCCATGAGTTTCACGACTTTCTGAATATCTTCGACAAGGACCCTGCTATGAGTTCAGCCAGTTCTTTCAGGACTCTTGGATGTAGGTGATCTGTCCCAGTGGATTTGAAGATGTCCAATTGTTCTAAGAGGACACTCACCTTTTTGGGACCGATTTCATGCTGTCTATAGGCTTCCCCATGCTCTCTGGGCCTCCAGATAGATGCACAGCTCCCATTAGCCTTCTGGAATACCCATGTGAAGTATTCATTCAGGAGCTCTGCCTTTTTGTGTGGATCAACTGTGGGCTGTCCCTCCATGTTCAGTAGGGGTCTCATAGTGAAGCTCAGTCTTTTTCTTGCTCCCCACATATCGATAGAATGACTTTTCATTGTCCTTTATTTCAGATGCCAGCTTGATCTCTGTGCCTGCTCTGTCTAAAAAAAAAAAAATCAAAAGCCTATACAAGCAGTCCTTGACTTACGACTTTTTCAGTTATGACGAATGGCACTTAAGACATTTATAAACTGACACCCTGTTTCAACCTTCCAACCTGGGTTTTGACTTTACTAAGCTGAATACAGCTGCATCCAGCTGGTAAGTCTGGTGTGGTGGAAGGGGAGTAGGAAGAGAAGGGGTGTAGAGAAGCAGATCAAGGGCCCGGTGGTGAGGGAGGGGCTGGAGCAAGTTGCTCATCTGGCAGGTCCCACCGCTTGTCCAGAAGGGCATGTGGGGGGGAGAGACATGTGCCCCTGGATCTGTGCAGGAGGGGCGGACAGGGCCCCCAAAACAAACAATTGTGTAGGTTATATTTATAAAAAAAATATTGATTAAAAATTATGTAGATGTATTATATATATTATTATATACATTTACAGATAGATAGATATGTTTGTAGGAATGTTATGTACATGTGATCTTTTTAAAGTGTTCCTAATGTAAACAAGCATTGTAAATTTTTTCCTTGTGTTGCATACATTTGGATTAGAGGTGCACCAATACATCAATCCAATATCGGGATCAGCATCGATATAAAGAAAACTGACTGTGTTGGAAATCGGCCTGATGTGGCCAATAAATGTGCCCTCACAGGGTGTGCACAGCAGCAGGAGCCACCTCCACTTCCCTGTGAGATGGAACCTAAAAGCCTGTGTGATAACCTGTGTTCAGAAACCTTGTCAGCTCATTTTTGTTGGTCTCTGAGGCTGCTTTAATGCTTCTGATCATTTCTCCAATCCTATAGCTAGAGCTATTAAATAGCTAAGCAAAATTATTTGACCAACTATGTAGTTGGGATAACGTTAGACAAGTTTTCAAATGCAAAACAACAGCCTGCAGTCGAAAGCTCACCCGACTTTATCCCAAGTAGTCCAATAAAAGAGCTCAACCTAGGAAATCATGACCCCTCATACTAAAGTAGTAACATTTTTAAAGCAAAAGACACGCAAAAGGGCAGAAGTAAAAAATCCATTCTTGTTGACTGTGACCTATGCAGAAAGGCCTGTAGTCTGTAGCAAAAGCATACAGGCCAGTGACATCCCCTGCCTCAAACCCCTTTTAATTAACACTGCACACTTCAAAGTTAGCACCATGCGTGTCTCAGCCTTGCATGGGATGCCAACTGGCTCTTTCAGGTGCCAGTTCTCCCTCCCCTCCTCCTCTCCCACAACCCCTTCCAAGGTCAATGCTGTCACTCCAAGCTCTGAACAAACACACATTATACCAGCTCTAACAACACTGTCCTGTTCCCAGATGCATGGCTCCCAAATCATTTTTCTTGAAAGGTTATACATCAGTCTTTTGCAGGCAGAACGTGGTGAAATTCCTACTTAGCATCTTTCTCTTCAGTAAACAAAAAGATGAAGACCATGCAGAAAATGAGCTATCACTTTCTCCACGTGGTAAAAAGAAGCTGATCACCTGTGGCTGCAAAATGTAAAACCATATGAAGAGAATCTGTTTCCTAAATCATGAAACAAAACATGGCAACTGCTGAGACAAGCCCCATTTGGCATGAAGCCAGAGGCTGCTCTGCTCCAGAAAACCTGGTGGGCAGTAGGGGCTGCTGTGCTTGGTGCTGCCAGGACACCCACAAGAGACAGAGCTGGGCTCCAAGCTGAGTCAAAGACCCACAACCACTCTCCTTGGGGATGGGGTGGGGTAGGTGTGGTGGCTCACACCTCAATGAAGCCATTGCCCACATGTTCTCAGCATTTCCCCCCTGCTCCAGGAGCCATTAGAAGGATGAATAATGGCCAGGCTGAGGCAGTGTTGCCAGGCATATGATAATTATCATGTTTGTACAATAATTTAAATCTTTGTACAATGTACAATTGATAGTAAGTGTTCAAAATGCACAATAATTTGAGGCAGCTCAGTAATGCAGCATATGCAAAACCCAAGTCACTCTCAGGTAGTCTTAACTGACTTTCAGATTTGCTGTTAGCACTTTTCTATGACTGCTTGCCTTGAAATAAAGATTTTTTTTTTTTATTATCAGTTTATGTTCCAGGTCAAATCAGTTCCAAATCATATCAACTGAGCAGAACTCAAATCGTTCCAAAAACCATATCAACGGAGCAGGCAGAATTCAATCATTCTAAACACCATGTAGGGGGACAACTGACAAGCATCCTCCATCCCAGGCTCTCACTCTGAGACTTCAGATGCTCCCAAATCTGGCAGGCATCCTAGGTACAGGCCCAAGCCTAGAGGTCTTGGGATTTGGATGCCCCCACTTGATCTTAGCCCACAAGAGGCTGAAAAGCAGTAGTCTTAACTGACTTTGGGAGGGGTGCAGGTTGGAGGGGGGAGGGGGAGGGACAGGCTTTAAAGGAAAATTATGTCCCCCAAGTCAACTCAGCCAAATCATTTCCAAACCCATGAGTCATTCAAGAACCAAATGAAGCCCTGCTACCAGCAAACCAACCAGCCCCAACTTGGGGCTTCAGATGCTTCTAAATCATTTGGTGGGCATCCTACATGCACACCCAAGCCTAAGCCCAGAGGCTTGGGGTTTGGATGCCCCCAAGTTTCACTTGCCCTCAACTGTATGGCTACAGAAGCAAGCTAGTGAGGAGTCTCCCATTTCCATTAAGTCTGTATATAGCCAAGATCTTCCCACTAGAAGTGAAAATGGGAGGGTAAGTATGCATTAACTTGGTCAGGGTACTACCCCCTGCCAAGAAAACGGTTTTCCCCTGCAAGTAGGAAAACCACCTTAGTGGTCAGGGTCTTTCTCCTACCAGGCAAGTATGGGTTTGCTGGCAGCACTTTCTTATGACTGCTGGCCTCGCAACAAAAAGAAGCTTCAACTTATATCCACTTCTCACTCCCTCACTGGTGGCTTACAGTGAGCAATATCAAGTGAAGGACGAGACTAATCTGCATCCTTATTTGCGCGTTTCAAGCGTAGAATACTTTTTCAGCAAGCACGATCATTTCGAGCTTCCAACACCATAATCTCCCGTTTCAGACCCGGCGAGGCCGGGCGGGGGCCGGAGCCGGAGCGGCGGCGCTTACCGGGCGGTGCTGAGCAGCGGGTGCTTGGTGCCCACCAGCTTGCGGACCTGCAGTGCGACGTTGCTGAGCTCGTCGCTGAGGAGGCAGCGCAGGCTGAGGAAGGAGGTGGGGTAGCCCACCAGCTTCTCGGCCTCCGACACCACTTTGCTCCAGGACGCGGCCGAGCCCGGCGCCGACAGCAGCCCCCGTCGCCCCGCCACAGCCACCCGCGCCCGGCCGCCGCCGCGCAGCGCCCGCAGCAGCTGCCGGAACCGCATAGCCCCGGCCTCCCT